GAACATTATGAAAAATCCCTCTTTGTAGAAGAGACATATAGTTTAGCAGATGTCACAAAGAACGACGTCTTAAGGATCAAATAATTCTGTCTTTATATTCCACGCTCAGAGCTCTGTCACGAACCAAGTGCAAATCTTACTCGCGACATTCGACACGACTTTAACAACAGTTTTCAATCAAAACTTTCATCATGTTTCATTATTCACGAATTGAACCGGAACTCCCTAAACCGCGTCTAGTCACCTAACTACGGTCGGTGCGCTTGCGCATGTGACGTCATACAGTCACGACGACCCTGACATCTGTGATTTAGTGTAACAATATTGATAGGTTTAAAGGTGTTGAGACGGATGTGAAGTTAAGGTGAACGTCTATTGAAGCGAATATTATTTTTGATTACCTAATTTCAGACTAGACTTACTAGAGTTTTTAATATATGTGACAGATTTGCTTTAAAAGTTGTTATTGTAACGACCCACAGCCATTGTTCTGTAATATTTGTTTTCACAGCACTTATGTGAGACTGTACATGTGTCTGTTTTATTTTGTGTTTCTATGTTCCCAAAATTAATTAAGTAGTGTCTGAGGCAATTCGTTTGATCAACCTTTCTTTGTACCATACATATTGTAATAAACTAGTGCGCCTTACCATCAACGATTGCATCACTGCGTAACATCAGGTGGGATCGCAGTCAAGCACTAGTTTATTGCAAGTAAAAAAATAAAATAAAATTTATTAAAATTAATTGAACCTTTAGGTACTTCTTCATCATCACCATTATCAGCATATCAGCCATAAGTCCACCGCTGAACTTAGCCTTCCCCATGAGATTTCTAGATAGACTGGTTGGGAGCTATCTGTATCCAGCGGCTCTGTTTTTGTAAGGGGAAAATCTTCCAATGATTTCTCTCGGCCAGGGTGACACGAGAACGAGGGTCAGACTCGTACTGACTAAAACTATCCCCAAAAACCCCGGCTGAACCAGCGCCTCCCTGTATCCTTAATTAGGTCGGAGACCCACCTTGTGGGTGGATGTTCTGTCCTGAACTTGCCGGTTCCTGGCCTCTATTCGATAACCCTCCTAGCAGCCCTTGTCTCCAAGCTATGCTACCTTCCCACTGCCACTTTAGCTTCGCTTCCTTCTTCAGAACTTTAAATAATAACCGTCTTTTATATTTCTATGTTGTATTTACATACCATGTTTTGCATTATGTAATAATTTCCATAAGTCTACATTCCAATATGTCTCCAGATGTATTCCGCAGTAAATAGCTCGTTATCTCACTGTTCTGATGACACCTTTACGTAACTGTGGGTGTTATAGTACCGCTGTACTAGCTGTAGCTGACGAGTTCCGGTACACAAGTAGATACAATGCAGCAAGAAAGTGAAATATTTATTTAACATTATCGTAAAGGTATTTTAAGGATATTTTGTTTTAGTGTGCTTGGAGTTGTCTATGTAACAAAGTATGAGGTTTTGATAAGTTTTAGTAGGAGAATTTTGAAATAAGTGAATTCGATAAGTATTCGAATGTCGAATGACGCGCACGAAGCACCAAAGTGATAACACCGTTTTGAATTTTGCTCCGTCAAAAAACAGTAGACGTACGAATGAATAATTACAATCCATTTGAATTAGTAGTGCTACTAGTAAGTTAAAAAAATATTGTAACATAAATACGTAGACGTTGTACCAGAGCTGATTTTGTATGGGTTTTGTTATACCTTCGCTATTTACTTTCAAAGTCCGACATTTATTATAGACAACAAAAAATACTTTTAAATTATATGTATGTGTACAGAAAGATATTCCTCCAGTACCTCTATTTTATTAATTCATATATCGTGTATAAAAGTGTAATATTTTCTGTGCATAAATAAACAAAGTATACTAATTAACAAAGTTTTTGAAAGAATAATATTTATAAAACAAGTTACAATTACTAAATTATTCAATAAACATTTGACAAGTACTTTCCTAGATCAACATGAAGAAAATCCGCGCTACTGCGCACGCGTTCCGGAAATCGTGACATAAGATGGCCGAGCTTCCGTCCGCCATTGTTGCTATATCAATTAATAGGACTATACTCGGAATTTTAATTCCATTCCAGATTTGACAATTTCAGTGTTGCAACGTTATGACACGTAATAAATAGTGACGTTGCGAAATTATTCGATATGGAAATCGAATATTTCTGAATCGATTCCTCTCGTTTATAAATTTACTCTCGTAGACTAAGTTTATCAGGAAATAAAATATTTCTGAACCGATAATTTAGTTTTGACAATTAATTAACGATCTGAGACTTTTCTTTTGTAATTGTGTGTGAAAATAATAAAAAATGTGATCATGAAGGAACGTGACAAATAAAACAGACATTTTATAAATTGTCGCCGTCATCGCTATCGCTATCGCCGTTACTCTATGTAACATTTATTATGAATTGTGTCTTTGATATTTATTGTCAATTAACATATCTAGCTTACTAATTTTTTCCTCTTCTTTGAAAACATGGGATACACATTTAGACCATTCGGTAGCCGTAATTTTTTGAATGCCTTCCTGAAACTGATTCACTGATTGTTTATCGATTTTTGTGTTCATCACTACACTGTTATATGTGGTATCATTATTTCACAAAATGACAGTGATTAATGTCAAATCAGGAATCGAATTAAAAGTCTGACTATAGTTGACGGGTCACTTTCAAATGACTTTTGAACTTACGTTTTACTAAAGGCGGAAAGGACAGTATGCTAATACGATGTTTTGCTAATATCTTTGAAAGCATCGAATTGACCACTTTGATGCAGGAAAGTTAGCGATCATCGCATATTCCATGATAAAAATGATTGCACAGGTTGGCGCAGTGGCTGGGTATTTCCCGCATAGAACAACTCTTTATCCATGACCCATAAATTGTTGTTCCGGGTCTGGGTGTGATGTGTATGTCACATCACAATGTGTTTGTCAAATTGTATATTTGTTACCCACGCCACAGGTGAAAATCCTAGTGTTTTTTTTTTGTGAGAGGAAAATTGTCAAATGACTTCTCCCGCCCAGGGCCGGGCCGGAGGGAGTGTCAGACTCTTACTGACTAAAAACCCCCTGTTCCTTCTCATGCTGTAGGCCGAGGTCGCGGTGCCTCATTGGGCTTAGCCCGCAACCCCGGCTGAAAAATCATAGTGTGGGGCCACGTTTTTAATATAAAAAAAAAAGAAAAATTAAACCAGTAGTTAGTTTTTGACTATAAGTGCCAAGTGCTAATTAAAACAACGCTAACATTACTTTACTTTGTTATTTAAGTATAAGCTATTTATAGCTGCATTCTTGTGACTCAGAAGATCAAGTATACAAAAAGTTCTATAGTAAAAGTCGGTTAAAAAAAGCAATTGTACTATTACAAATAAGATGGAGAATGTACTCAACGCCCTAGTCTACAATCAATAGTTACGGCTTGATGCTAATCTCCAAATGTGAGTACAATCGAGTTCAGAAACTCTAACTCGAATAAATGGATAATTTTCTTTAAACAGAACTACATACGTTACTTGGTAAAAAAACGAATGAAACATTCTGTTTAAAGAATTTCATTCGTTTTTTTTACCAACTAACGTATGTAGTAGATCAAAAATAATTATGTGTACCTAGCAAATAATAGCATGACTAATCAATTCTTACTTTTTCAGGAGAAAATAGTTATTATACAAAATATATAAATTTGTATAATAAATTAGCTTCCTGCCAGCGACTTCGTCCGCAAATCTTAATAAATCCTAATCTCCATCTTGTATATAAAAACGCATCAAAATCTGTCTCGTAGTTTGCAAGATCTAAGTATACTAACATAGGGACAGACAGCGGGAAGCGAGTTTGTTTTATACGACATAGTGAAACATGATGGTGACTGCAAAACTTTTGACCTAATATTCTACAAGTTAAGCCGTAATGTAAAAAAATAAAGATTTTTTACCTCTAAGAATATTATATTATATTATTTCCTTCATAAAGATATACTATCTTTTATTTTTTAGTACTAATGTTCTCGCTAGTACACTGAGGAAGAGCAGATGACCCGCGCTCGTAAAAACTATGATGACTACTGAATAATTTGTGCTGATTGGACCTTGACGTACAGTCCAGGTTATAGTCTTTTAGCGGAAAGAGTTTTGCTGACAGAACAATAGAAAGTTCTGCAGTTAGATACACGTATATCTACAGAAGGAATAATAAGTTTTTTCAGATATCGGGTGAATTACCTACATTAAAACTATTTTCAAATAAAAATGGCCAAATTATCTACTTTGACAAGGAAAGGTTGGAATGAAAAGGACCAAATGCAAATTATTTTTTAAAGCAATCAACTAATGCAATCAGCTCAAAGTTGATAATCTATCTACACATAAAAATTAATTGCATAATGTGTTGGTAAGCGCATAACTCAACAATAACGCCTAAACCAATTTTGCCAATTCTTTTTTTTCGTTGTGTTTGTTGTTTTTACGATACAGGAGAAAATCTTATGAAAACTTTACCCCATAATGTTATAAAAAAAATGCTAAGTGTTCATTGACATTGTCCCATTTAATTTGCAATTAATTTGGCATATTTTATTGTTCTAACCTAATTTACTGGGACATCTATAAATGTCCAAGTAAAAAGTAGTGTTGGCATTTTTGTCTCCTTAGTTAATCAGTCGTGCTGTTTCTATCTAGATAACTCAAATGAACTGACTTTTACTTGTTGGCTGTAGTACTTTCACACGACCTGCGTGTAACAGGTGTTTGTTTAAAATTAAATATATTTCACATTTTAATAATGAACATGTAATTGTACCCGGATTTTTTATTTTGTCGTGTAAGAAACCAGCATTACAGTGTGACACCACGGCTAACGTGAAACAACCACACCAGCGTTGTTGTTTTGTCAGGGGACTCGCCTAGGCGAGAGGTTTCCTGCTTTAGGCCGAGGCTGCAGTGCCTCAGCGCTTACCTCGCAAGCCCGGCTGAACATCAGTCCTATAGGGCCCCGTTTGCGGTGGTCTATTGGCTCTTTGAGGTGCGCGCGGAACACTATGCACCGTACGCTTGACTTTCTTTGTATGCCTGCGGTTACCAGAGGCCTAATCCTCACCCTCCCCGTATCCCCGCCCAATCCTGCAATCACCAAAATGCCAGTAACGCACGCGTAACTCAACTAGAGTTGTGTCCATAGGCGGCGCCAATAGCTTACTTTATATATTATCTATTCTATAATATAAAACTGAATCGCAAAATGTGTTTGTAAGCGCATAACTCAATAACGCCTGGACCAATTTAGCCAATTCTTTTTTGGTAATCTTGTTATTATTAGGGTTCTTACTAATGAAAACTTTAGAAAAGTAAAGGGGAATAGCGGGTATTAACAACCCTTTCGGAGCCGTGGAAGTTCGTTTGCAAAACAAATGACTGACACCGGGATAGTCGGATACCCGTGCGAAGCAGGGGCGGCCTGTTAGTACTGTATATAATTAACTATACAGTATAGTAGTATATAATAATTAAACAATAACAATAGTATAAACAAGGTAGTCAATTACAAATAAATAAATATCAAGTGGTAATTATTATAACTCGGTTCACCCACTTCTTTGAGGATTTAAATTCGAGTCATAAAATGATGTTCTAATTTTAAACCACAACTCACTACACTTTCAATACTGTATCTGTTCATCTTATCGCTTGTACCATACACTTCCTACTCCAGTATCTAGCGATCGGTTGCAAAACCAACTGTTTTCGTCTGCTTTTCCCATGCATTAGCCATTCTCGTACGTCACGAACCGATTGCGCCCGATTACGCCCGATCGTGGCCGAAGATAGGAGGAGGGACGAAGTTCGTTTGTTTGTTATGAGCAGTTAATTGAAGTTGAACAAAGAAGGCTTAAATAAATAGGAAGAGATCTGTAGATACTCGATTGTGTAAGTTTAAGTTTTGATGGTATTATGTAGGATGGTTGGTTTGACTACGATGTTCTGATGACCTTGACGTTGCTTTTATGTCGTTTGTTGGCGTTCCATGTGATGATGTTGCTACTAGCGTTAACATTTTTCTTTTCTTTTCTAGGCCGTACAAACGTACAAGGCCACCCAGGCTGGAAACAATAATTGTGTTGTTCCGAGAGGGTATCGAACCTGCGACAGCCAGTTGCCCAGCCATTGCGTTAAACGTGCATTTGTGGGTAAGCGAAAGTTCAAAAAAATGAGTATCTAAAAATCCGTATCGAAGTTATACGCGTGAATAAATGTTATAAGCTGCATTGTATTGTTTTGTATTGGCGACAAATAATGTTCAATATCTAAAAATTTAGTAAGGTAGTAATCATAAAAAATAGTGATGACAATAAGGTAAGGTAAAACATTTATGTTTTTTATGGGCTGGGTACGATAAGGTGGAGAGGAGACGGATCGCTAGATACTGCCTATAAAAATGCCTACTATCTATAATATTAGAAGAACAGTTAATAATACGAAAACGCATTGCGAATGAGGGTTTTTGAGAGAGGTTGGGCTTAATAAGTGTATATTAACAACAACATAAAAATCACATTTCGCCGTGTGAGTGAGGTTACCGGAGGCCCAATCCTTCCCCGCCCCCAATCTCTCCACAATCCCTAATCCCTAAAAGGTCAGCAACGCACTCGTAACTCCTCCGTTACGGGTGTCCATGGGCGGCGCTAATTGCTTACCATCAGGTAATCCGTCTGCTTGTTTACCGACCTATTACATAAAAAAAACATGATATACTTTTCTTTCGTACTAGCATCGTTTATACAAATAATTCTAACATCTACAGCTTCCACTATTATTTTTGTATCGAAGCGTGAATTTTCCCATCAGTTAGTTCATTGTTGGGATACTTAATTAAGCATCTAAGGTTAGATCTGAGGATAGAACTGCTCAGTGATCAGGAGGTCAATACGAGGTCCAAATATGGTACCTACCTACGTATTAGTTTTATTTACTTAATGGGCTTTTTGGAAAATATTTTTTTTGTTTATTATGATCGCCTCATTGCATATTGCATATTTTATTTTTTAGTTATGTGACCATCCTTTATCGTGTCCGCTTTCAAACTTACGATTCCACATACACATCACACCCAGACAAGGAACAACAATTTGTGGATCACACAAAGAATTGTTCCGCGCGAGAATCGAACCCGTGACACGTTGCACGGCAACCATTTGCCTAGCCACTGCACCAACCGTGAGTCTGTTAGTGCAATAATTATCATCCTAAATCAGTAGTATTAAATTGATATATTACTAGCTTCCGCCACGCGGGTGACTTTTCCATTTCTCTTCATAATTCTTATTATTCAAATCTTTATTTTTTTAAATTTATGGCCCACACTAGGATTTTCTCATGTGTCGTGGGTGCGTTTACAAACACACAAATCCACATACACATCACACCCAGACCTGAAACAACAATTTGTGGATGACACAAAGTGTTGTTCCGTGCGGGAATCGAACCCGCGGCACGACAGCCAGTTGCCCAGCCACCGCGCCAACCGTGCAGTCGATTATCGATTATCTTTGTAAACTTCCTTTATCGATTCTCACCTCTCGAAATTCATTTTCATTTTCGTCTATCTACATTCGAAGTCATCTTGTCGGTTCAAATGAATTTAATGTCAGAGATAGAGAGAGAAATATTCATCTGTATTCTTTGACATTCTTTCAATGATGAACTATGCAATATCTGAAATGCCACATCTCAGTTTGGTTGGTACTCATCTAATTATATTTCCTCACCGATGACCCGGTGAGATTGACAAACAGTCTCCGATCTATATCGCCGTGTTCGGTACATTCCTAGCGGTCGCTACAATTTTCTGATAATCACACAGGCTGGATTTCTCCGCCTAGATCCGAATCTAGATATTTTTGCTTTGTTACCTGGTATGCAATAGTTTTTGAGGTAGTTGTTAGATTACTTTTCTTTATTAACAGAGTAGGGTTGAATAACATTTCTTTGTGTAAGAAATAAAATAAATAATGACATCTACTGGGTGTCTTGTCAGGAAAACACTCTAAACCTGTTTATAGAGAAATTTTATGAGCGAATGAAACTTACTATGAAATTTTCGATTCATTCATTAGTCGTGATTTTTAACCCTATTCTGTGAAGAGGTTCTGTCTAGTGTTCCTTATTTCTCCCATTGCAAACAGTGAAACAACGAAACTAAAATACGTTTACGACATTTTCGACAATTACACTGCGGAGCAAAATAAATGGAACGTTGCAAACTTAAATGTCTCTTGGGTTAATTGCAGTGTGTTGCAACACAAACGAACAGACAGACAGACGAACATAAATCATTATTTTACTAGGTCTAATCAAAACTGGATGTGACATGAGAACTAAAAAGCTTAAAGCTTAGTATCCAACCTTTGCTCCTTTTTGTAATAGTTAGACTTTGTAATAAATTGGCATTTAAAAATCTACATTGACGATAGTGTTTTGTAAATGGTGAGCCATGTTTCAAGGATATGTTTCGGAAATATAAATATGCATGGATTAATTCTTTTTTCAGTAAGATTACTTACAACTAATAAAAGAAGATTGAGTAAACTACTATGGCACTCGGTTGCACTCTTTTTTAGCACAGTACAGTAGTGAAAATTGGACACTGCTTAGGGTCTTTAACATTGTACTATTGTGGGGTTTTCCAAAAAAACATTATTTACTCAGGATATCGTCAGGGTTATATAAACGTCGAAATAATAAATTGGGTTTAAGGTAATACTAAGTATATTGAAGATAAATACTTTACAAATGTTTTTAATAGAATTGTTGCTAAAATAAGTTGGAAATAACAACATTAACAGATCAAAAAGATGCAATTCTTAAATTAATATAAAATCTGGAATTGATTAATGGCACAAATCACACATAGATTTTTTGTGAGAAAAAGCTTTTTAGCAATTATAAACCAAACCAAACTAATATTATAAATTCGAAAGTAACTCTACTCTACCTGTCCGTCTGTCTGTCTTTTTTCACGCTTAAACTACTGAACCGATTTCTGTGAAATTTGGTACAGACATAGTTTGGGACTCGAGAAAGGACATAAGATAGTTTTTACTCCGAAAATCTGCAAGAAGTCACTATTCCACGCGAACGAAGTCGCGGGCAAAAGCTAGTAAATAATAACCTTGCCTTATTTATACTTTTTATGTACCCCAACTATCTTAATCATTTAAATATTTTGCTAAAATACAAACTATTACATATTTGGTCCTAGCACCTAAGTTACTGCCATCATTTCAGAAGGTCAGTTTGACACGCTAAGCACTAAGTTACACCTAAGTAATGATACTTGACACAACTTAACGTGAAGCTAAACACTATTAACTGTGAATAATTTGTATTTAAGTTTTATAAATTATAAACTTGTAAACTTTATAAATTATATTGTCAAGGTTGAATGTTTATGGTTCATGATTGTATTAGGGAGTAGGTCTAGGTTTTCTTTATTTTTTAGATACCTACCTAATATATTTTGTGCAAATATAAAATTGAATTTTTTTTAACAGCAAACTACCTGGCAGATTACCTGATGGAAAGGCCATGCCTACTGGAGGAGTTGTGAGTTCGTTGGCAACCTTTTGGGGAATAGGATTTTTAGAGGAGGAGGAGATTTAGAGCGAATTCAAAGTTTTTATCTATTAAAATGGGTCGTCAATTTCAAGTAAGTTGCTTGCATTGCTTGATCTGTTGAAAAATACAGACATTAGCTACTAACAGTAACTTTCTCTAAAACTGAAACTTCTAGTGCAGGTAATAAGAAAATGTTTTGAAGAACATAATAAATAAAAAAAGACCTAATAAATATACGGCTAAGAATTGATAAACGAGTACATTAACATTGTCCAATTAATATTACAGTACAGCTGCGTGATTTATTTAACTCTCATTATGTAGTCAACGTTTCAGTTTCAAAATATTTATCTTGAGCTGCGCGCACGCAACCAAACGATCAAGTTGTCTCTACATGCGATCGCACCAATACAGTGCTACCAAACGTAGAGAACCGTGAAATTGTACACCTTCGCAATGTAGAGGGTAGAGACACATAGAAAGGAGAGCGAATATCTGCTAAGTTGTTTTTTGTGTGTTACATTGAAACTCTTGGCTCTTTTTTATGTCCTTTCTTGATCATCATTATTATGATAGAATACACAAGATGTGCACTACTGATACTGTTTAATCATTTTCAAATATACAGGATCAATCGAAAAATAGACAATTAACGAAGAAACCAATCAATAGTTTTAAAATAATAACATTTTTCTTTGAGGTACAGGCAGATTTAAAATCGTCGTGTGCGAGACTGGATTTTTCAGAAACTTTTCATTGAAGGAAATTCTAAATCACTCTATGCACATATAATAGCACTAATAGCAGAACCATCGAGAAACCTTGTGTGTTATCATCAACTTTTATTCACTAAATTATCATGTGTTTGAAACGATCAACACGTCGATTTTATAAAATTTGTTTTCGAAATTACATTATAGAATGCCAGTTTTAACGCCATCTCATACTTTATCTATCAAAATGTTGCGGTCAATTTAGTTCAACTTGCAAGTGTAGCGCTAGTGCGCGCTACACACAGCGGATTCAGATTCGAAGTTTAGAATGAAGTCTTACAGAATCACGCTGCAGAACTTTCAAAAAGTAAGTAGAAGTTGTTCTATGAAACCGTCGATTGAACGTAGCATGCGCATCGCTTGTGCAGGAGTATGTACTGATCGTAGCAGTCAGACACACAGTCAGAACAATGAATAATGGCGCTCGCAATCGTCTCGCCTCCACCAGCGCCCGGTTATTTGCAGATAACAAATTGCTACCGCTCCCTATTCGCTATGATACTAGAATTGAACGAACTAAGTCAGGTATGGAGAATCTTAACGTATCAATGTGGATGAACTGTAAAGATATCCCTCTTATTTTTTTATATGAATCCGTCATACATTTTGCTGTAAAATATAAGCTACTAAGCTTATTAGGGTCAGGTGCATCAAAGATCAAGTATATCAGTAAGATTAAAGACATTACAATTTTTGTGTTTAAGAGAGAGTTTTTTAGAAACTATGCTATGTAGACATGTGCATCCTGATGTCCATGCTAATAATTTATATAATATTTAAGATATATTTCTACTTACATTAGGATAACACATTACAAACAAGTTTGTATGAATTACTGATAAAAATAACTAATTTAACCATGAATTTTGTGGACGTGTTTATAGTATTCTGTTGTGCGTGCCAAAGGTTAACTATCCCTGTACTATGTTGAAATCTGGTTAAAAGAAATAAAAAATAATAATACACGATATCATCATTTCGACTACACAGTTGGTGCGGTTGCGGGGCAACTGGCTGCCGTGCAGCGTGTCGCGGGTTCGATTTTCCGCACGAAACATCTCTTTGTGTAATCCATAAATTGTTGTTCGGGGTCTGGGTGTCATGTGTATGTGGAATTGTATGTTTGTAACCGCACCCACGACACAGGAGAAAATCCAAGAGTGGGGCAACGCTTTTATTAAAAAAAATTGGTTTACTCATTACCACCATACCAACAATAAGACGTCCTTTACTGAACATAACTCCCCCCGCCCTCCAAAGGGTTCCACATATAGCAGCTAGAAGGAAATTCCTGACAACCTTTATTTGGGCGTATTCCTTTTACATTTTTCACTACGA